GTGTCGGTACCGCCGGGCTGGGGACGGTGGCGGCCGTGGAGCCTTCGGCCGGCCGTGTCGGGAAGGGGATGGGGCTCTGTCAGCGCCCGTGGGGGCCCTGGTTTAACAACCGGTGCTCGGTGCTGTTTTCTTTGGGGAAGGGATCGTGGGGCTAAGGCCTGTGGGTGACAGTAGGCTGTGCTTGGATTGTTTTCCTTGATAACCCCAGGCTTCATTAGACACAGTTAAACTTTTCTCTTGTGCAAGGCGCCAGTTGCAGCTGGTCTTTGGCTGGAGAAGGCAATAGGAACCCCAGGCACCTAACAAGGTGCTGCCGAGTGCTGCTCCTGCCACCTGCCATGGCTGGGTGTAGGCTCCGGGGACAGGAGACTTACCTGGGCTAGTCCCAAGGATGTGGTCAGGAGACCAGTAACATGGAAAAACCCAAGCTAGTACTTGAAAGGTCTTCAGAGTCAGAGCTTTGTGGTAGTACCTAGGTCTAATAATTTAGTTAGGTATTTTCTTTCTATAAAGCCAAACGGGAAAGGGGAAAGTCTCAATATTGCTGTTTATCAAGGAGAGGTGCTCTCTTGCTGCAGTGGTGCCTGGGGACATCAGCTGCCCTGAAGCACAGCTCAGGTACCTCCTGTTGTGAAGTGCAGCAGCAGAGACCCCACTACGCAGTTGTGGGTGATGACCTCTCTGGCAGCGTCCAGCAAAGCTGTGAATCTTAGGGTTTATAAGAAGTCCACTTGTACCCCAAAATTACTACCTGTGTTTTGCCAGTGGTATCTCATTTATCTGGTTTAGTAAAAGGTTGCAGTAGCAGGGGATTTCATAAAATCCTTTAAGAGAATGTTGAGAAATCAACCATCGCTCACTTTTGCTGTTGTTCAGAAATGGCACCTCGTAAGGGCAAGGAGAAGAAGGAAGAGCAGGTCATCAGCTTGGGTCCTCAGGTTGCTGAAGGAGAAAACGTCTTCGGCGTCTGCCATATCTTTGCTTCCTTCAATGATACTTTTGTCCATGTGACTGATCTCTCTGGCAAGTGAGTATTGAATGCTGGGCACTTCCCTGCAGTACCTGACTCCTTTGGCTTTGGAAATGTCAATAACATTTGGCTAGAGGTTCCACCAAAGTCCTTGACCTTCTGCTGAGCTGTAAGATAAGATGGTGTGTGTATGTGAACCATGTGGCTTGGTGTGCTCCTTTGTGATGAATATTGTCTTCAGGCTACTGGATGGCAGTGTATTGATCCAGTAACATTCAAAATAACAGGTTCTACCTGTACCCAGAAGCTGGTGTGTGGGGACGAAAGAGGAAGGGCTTTTTTTTCTGAATGTTGTCTTTCCCTTCCACAGGGAAACTATCTGCCGTGTGACTGGTGGCATGAAGGTGAAGGCAGACAGAGATGAGTCTTCTCCCTACGCAGCTATGCTGGCAGCCCAGGACGTTGCCCAGCGGTGCAAGGAACTGGGCATCACTGCCCTGCATATCAAGCTGCGTGCTACCGGTGGGAATAGGTACGTTGGAGGGGCTGGGCCCAGCATTCTCGGAGGATACAGATGGCACCACATCCCTTCTTTGCACTGCCTCAGTTGGTCAGGGGGATGCGCCCTCCAAACTTGACTAAACTTCACCCAGAGGGTGTCTGTCACTTTGTATGATGACTGGCTGATGTCATCTCTCACTGAGCATCTGGAGCTCATCCTGAGTGGGCGTCTCCAGTTGACTGGAGCTGGGGTGTGCTCTTAGTTCCCTGGTAGTGGATGGGGAGCTGCTGTCGAACTTGGAGACGTGTTACCTTGGAGTGACAGTGGAGTGCCTCTCTGGTGGCTGATTGTGAATGGTTTGGGCCTGGGGACAGAGGAGGGTGAGTTCCGGTACCTGTGTGTTTTGGGATGGGGAAACTAGGTTTAACATTGTTGGTTGTGTTCAACTTCTGAATCATTGAAGGGGTTATTGGTTCTAACTCTCTCCTCCAGGACCAAAACTCCTGGACCTGGTGCCCAGTCAGCCCTGAGAGCTCTGGCCCGATCTGGAATGAAGATCGGCCGCATTGGTGAGTGGTGGAGGCAGTGATAGCTAGATGTGGATGTCGTGGTATATCATTGCAGAGCAAACAAACCAAACCCAAATAAATACCAGAGTTTTGAGGCATTATTTAGTAAAAGAAGCTTTGTAGATGTATGTTCCACTTGGTATGATGATTTAACTTTAGGATGTTCTTGGCCTCTGTCAGATGGCGCTGAAGGTATGGTTTCATTGAAACAGATGCTTAACCCGACGGTTCACCAGGAGGTGGCGAGAGCAGCCTTCAGAAACCTAGTTTCTGTCTGCACAGTAAACCCCATCTGCACAACAGGATGCTGATGCTCCTCTGATGTAACAGCATTTGTGCCAGAGCTGTTCAGTCTCCTAGCAATAGTGTGTTGTCTCAATTCAGGACTGACTCAGTAATAATGGAGTTCCTTCAGCTGTTTGAGGGAGAGTCCCAGACTTTGTAGGGGAGTCACAAGAAGCACTGGTGTTGGCTGCTCTGAAAGTTCCATCAAGCACCCTCTGTTTCTTCAGAAGCGCTGTGTGATTTGAGTGGGATGGGAGATTGGGATTTTTGTTTCCTAAGCATTAAAGCCTCGGCTACCCAGCCCTGGGCGAGTTCCCAAATATCTTCACTCCTCTGGAGCGTTGGCTCTTCCTGTGCATGGCTCCTGTGGCAGCTGACTGCCGAGGGGTGGCTGTGCCGTGACTGCTGGGGTTGGGTAGCTGTGCCCACTTGATTTTTTTTTTTTTTTTGGGTACCTCTGGAAGGTAACTGTGGTTTTTGTTTTCTTTTCCCTGCAGAGGATGTCACCCCCATCCCCTCTGACAGCACTCGCAGAAAGGGTGGTCGCCGTGGACGTCGTCTGTAAACAACGCTGCACCTTTCGTTATTAAAGCTCTCTTTTAAACCTCTTCTCAGCTGCCTGTTTTCTTACTGAGGTACAGTCAGTTGAGTGGCTTCAGATTAATTACATCCATAAATGGCTTATGCTCTGAAGCAGGGCTTCTGCTTTGGATTGGGGTGGTGGTTAGTACTGTTGGCTTTTCAATATCATAGGAGAAGCTTCTAAAATTCCTGGAATTACAGCTCTCAGCTGCTCTCTTTATATATTCATACTTCCAGAGGTGTTTAAGAAAAATGCCTTCTCACTTAGTCACGCCCTGCTTTCCCCGCTGATGTTTGCCCTCCATGAAATGTGCCGCCATCACCGGGAATAAATGTCCATTTCCACCTTCGCCAGTGTTCTCTTTCTGAGCTCTCCAGGCTTTGATGCCACTCCTGTTCCTGCTGCTTCCTCAGCTGGATCAGGATTTTAGGCCAAGAGGAGATTCACGAGTGTACAGTACTTGAAGTATAGTTTAAGATAGGAGGGTTCTGGCTGCTCATGGTGTCAAAGTTCTTTATGCTTGTGGTTAAAATAGCTGTGTCTTCTCCAGCTTGAGAGAGATGAAGCCATTGGAATTGCTCCTGTGGGGTGGTTATGTCAGCCCTTGGAGCGCAGCGCCTGTTGTGCCGGGGGTCTGTCACTGTCCTGCCCCCCCCAGCTCATGGTGTGGTGCCTCCGCCCCTGCGGTCACGTGCTGTTCAGTGGGACTCCTGGCGAGCAGCCGGCGAGTTCCTCTGGAGCTGGGAAAATGTCCAGGAATACTTGTGGTCAGGTTTAAGTGATTTTCATCAAATTGGTTGAAAAACTTTAGGATTCTTAGCACAATTATATGGCAAATATGAATAGTTTTATGCATGTGTGACCTATAAAGTGAAGCTGAAAGGCAGCATTCTGATGTCCTGGGCTCTTGGACGAGGTCTGCCTCCAGATCCCACGACCCTCAACCCTCACCACTTTCACTTTGGCTCTTTCCCACACGTTTGCATCTTAAAAGGCTTCGCAGGGGATTCTTTCCCCTGCCCACCCCTCCTGAGCCTCCCTCCCCTGACAGGAAGGGCTGCTGTGCCTGGTGGTGGTGCTGGAGGCCCTCTGTTCTCAGAGCAGTCTCTGTTCTGATTAAATTACTCTGGCTGGACTGGATCCAGGGCACGTTGCTCCTGTCAAGCTCAGTCTTCAGTTGTCAAGCTGCAGCTCTTGCACAGTAAAAGGGGACGAGTAGCAAAGCTGGCTGGTCGGCAGCCGTGTCGGCAGTGAAAACTTACTTGGATGCTTGCGGTTTCAGAGTGAGTCGTGATCTCTTGGAGATGTCCTTGCTGTGGAAAAGCAAGCTGGGCTTGTGAGCAGGCTAACTGCTGCTGGGTTTTCTGCAAACTGTTGCTTAATACATCAGTTCCTCTTTCGGTGGAAAAAATCTCTGCCTGGACCAATGTTCCCGAGCCAGCGTTTCCCTTGGCGCAGCTGTAGTGTTTAATTTGTAATTCTATATGTGGCCATGGAAAACTTTAGAATAAACTTCCCTTACTGTCTTAAAAGTGCACTATTTGCTGTTCAAATCACTGTTTTCCTGCACTTAAAGTGTTCTTTGAAGTCTGTGGAGAAGGTGCTGAAAGCATGCAACCAGCAGTGGCTCAGGCAATGTGGAGCTGAACTGAGGAGGGAACGGGGCAGAGGAGTGCAGGGGAGGGAGATGCTGTTTGTGGGAGTGGAGGGTGTGTGTAACTAACAGCTCTAGTCAGTATTTTTTTTTTACATTCACTGAAACCTGTTGCTGTTCTGATGTGTGTTACTCTGTCCCAGGTGACGTTAACGTGGCTGCTTCACAGAGTGTGTTTGATGGGGAAGCTCTGCAGGAATATAAAATCCAACGCAGGACAAATGTAACAGACCCTTGCTCATTTGTTTAGAGCGCGGTTTAGAATGTTTTCTGCTCAGTTCTGTCTCCCTTCCGTGGCCACCCTGGTGCTCTGTCTACCACTTTATCCCTGCTGGTTGTGAGGGTGGATGTGGGAATGGGAAGGTGTTTGCTCCGCACTGCTCCAAGGGTGTGAGAAGGGAAGCAGTTTTTCATCCAGGTGCTGGCTTCCCCCCACATAGCAGGATCAGGCCGACCTCTGGGCAGCACAGACCTGCCTGGCACCCGGTGCCCTCGGCCTTGCTTGTCTCTGGAGAGGAAGTTGCTGAAGCACCAGCTGGGACCCTCCTGTTGAACCCACACTTACTGCTCTGCTGGGTGTATCCTCCCCTTGGGGAGGTTTTCTGGGGCTTACACAGGTGCTGGGAGCTTTGCCCAGCACAGGAAGGAGGATTTGCTTTATTAGCTCTTAATCTTTGGAAGCGGGAGCTCTGCTGGGTGCATGGGGCTATCCAGGCTGAGCTCCTGTAAGCCCAGCCTGTGCCACTTGCCACGTGGGCTGGGTCTTCCCTGGGCTTGCTACACAATTAATGGCAAAAATGGCCTGACGTCTTTGAAACAACTTCCTGCGCTGGTGTGAAACCCCCCAGGGGGGAAATGGTGATTGAGGAAGGGAAACTGGAGAGCCAGGCCTGTCTCTGCACAGAGCAGGCTGCCCAGCACACGTCTCGGGGCTCTCTGGAGGGAAAGACTCTTCTGGCTGAGCGGCATGGAGGCATTTTAAGGCTCTTGCAGTTCCTGCGCCTATGCAGGAGCTGCATCATCTGCAAACCCCCTGCAGCTGGGGGATGGCTCCCTGGGTGGGTGGGGGGCACGTGGCTGCCCACCCTGTGTCTCCCTGGCAGGGCTGCTTGTCCCAGCAAGGTTGTGGGGCTGCTTGGGGCGTCTGCAGTGCTCCCACAGCCCAGAAAATCCCTGGAGATGGGTCTGTGTTTGCTGGTGAGCCCTGTGGCTCAGCTGTTCCCCTCAGGTTTGCTCGGGGCTCTCCTGGGTGTGATCTCACGAGCACCCAAACGTGGGTCTGTGCAGGGGCTGAGGGCTGTGAGGTGGAGGCTCAGCTGGTGATGGATGGTTTCATGTGAATGCCTGTGGGGTTATTTCCACCTCCCTGCCTCAAATAATTGCTCTGCCAGCTTGGGTTGAGGTCCCTGGGGGAATGGGCAGGTCTGAGCTGAGACCTGAAATTGCTCCTTGCTCCAGATGGCTTCTTTTTCCCCCAAAAGACAGATGCTTCCACACCCTCCAGTAATGATGCCTGTCAAGTTTTTCATGGGCAGCACAAAATGTACACAAATATGAAGCCTCGGGGGTGACAGGGTGGTGATGAGCCTGTGCTGGGTCTGGGTGTCAGCTTCGGGCTATGGAAGAGAGAGCGGGGTAAGGCAGGATGGGAGCTGCTCTGTAAAAAGATCTGCAGCTTCCCAGGAAAATCAGTTTACAGACTTAAAACATTTTAGATGCTGAGGCTCTGTGGAGAAAGGTGCAGGG